GTCCTGCCCACCCGATTCAAACCTCAAGCTTTATCTTTAACAACAACACTTGATTTCTTTCGTCTCTGACCCTGCAGCCGTTTGTTATTTTTTCACGTCTGTAACTCTTCAAAGGCCTGTGCGGACTGTTTAACGCAAGGTGCATCAATCTGTGTGATCGATATCAGTTCAGAATGACGGCGCCGGTTTGTGTTTGCTGATGCAACCCTCTGCAGGAGATTGTTACCCTGGCATTAGAGAAGAGTTTTTGAAAATCATAGCAGAGGAAAATTTGGCTGGAGCTTTTAAACGTCGACTTCTTTCCCATTTGCGAGGTTTTCTTTTTACGTCTGCGTAATAAACGGGGAAAAGCTAGCATGCGACGCATCTGATGCCTAATTAAAAAGCCATTGTATTATGACCCTAAACTGTTTCAAATCGGCATGCTAACATGTCTTTTTCTTTGATGAATCCAAATGATTTATGCCATATCCCCGTCTGTCGTTGCTTCTTTCGGTTTTAATGGGAAGCACATTAATCAGTGGTAATGCTTTCTGTGTTGCAAATGAAATTGATGTGACATTGTGTCGCGCATATGAAGTAACTTTGTTAGATAAAACTGTTTTTTGTGGCTCTGTAAAGAATTCACTCTCAATATTTAAGAGCTACCTTATGGTTGCATCACAAAGCCAGTAGACCAAACTCATTAATCATTGTTTTGGTTCATTTAATGAGTGTGCATCAGTGTGAGTGAATGCAGTATTCCAGGTTGAACTGGAACTGGCTCATAGTTCAGTCAAATAATGAATACCACACAGATAATCTTAAATTGAATTCAAATTGAATTAATTAAAATAATATTACTGTGAAAAAATATAAGGAGGGGGGAAAGTAGTGTTGTGAGTGCTTTGATAAGGTAAGTTAAGGAAAAATTTATACAGGATAATAAAGATAAAATAATACAACGCAAAGTGGAACCACATACTAAGCAGTGCTCATGCTTGGCAAGATGAGATAAGATATACTTTTTGTTTTCCAATGTTTGGACATTTCTTTAACAGCAAACAAGATATTAATGGATTGGATTTATATAGTGCTTTTTTAGGCACCCAAAGCACTTTACAATTCACACACTGGTGCAGGCGAGCTACAGTTGTAGCCACAGCTGCCCTGGGGCAGACTGACAGAAGCGAGGCTGCCATATCGCGCCATCGGCCCCTCTGGCCAACACCAGTAGGCAAGTAGGGTAAAGTGTCTTGCCCAAGGACACAACGACCAGGACAGAGAGCCCGGGGATCGAACCGGCGACCTTCCGGTTACAGATGCGATTCCCAACCCCCTGAGCCACGGTCGCTCAGGGGGTTAAACACAACCTTGACAGTTTGCTCAGTAATTAAAATACTATATAACAAAACAAATATTTAAATAAGGTAAGAAAAAATGCAGACAAGAGGGGAGCTCAATAAATTGGAAAAAAATAGATAAAGAACAACACAAAGGAGCTTAGTAATTAAAAAATATGTAAATAAAATAATTTAGAAAATAGTGAGGAGGGAACTAAAGAGGGAACCCTGCCATAGCAATCACAGAAGTGATGTCAGGTCTCTCTTCTCCCTGGACTCTCCGATACCGCTTCTCCCACCTCCAACACAAAACCAAGAAAAATAAATAAATTTTATTGGGGGACGTCGTCCCAACGTGTCATTCCCCCTTCTATTGAACTGTGACAACACCAACTTGCCACATTTAAGCAGAAGTTCTCCTGGACTTTTAGCCTTTCCACTCCCCAGAGTCATGCTGCTGAGACATACACATCAGAGCTCATTTATTTTGATAGCTGGAGACTAAATGAGTGATTAAACAGGTGAAGCAATTGTTATGGTTATAAAGTGGATATTTTAGAGAGACATATTGCTAAAGAGCCCAATTTGTTCCAGTCCATTTTTAGAGCCAGACTTTTTTTCTACAGGTTATAAAGAATTCAGCCCACACATACATGCATATAGAGGCCGCCGCATAGCAGGAGAGCTATCCACTCCTCGGTCGTCCTCACTCTATGGGACACTCTCTGTTCCTCTCTACGATCTCTTGTTAGACTAAAAATCAATCCCATCGTGGAGTAGCAGCCCATTTGTCCTTGGCTTTGATAGTGGCGTGGGTCAATAAATGGCACCGCACCGCTTCTCCCTCGTTTGGCCTCCCAGCGAAACCTCTGCTTGGCACAGCAATACTCTGACTGGAGTTCATGATAGATGGCACAGACATGTGAATGGAATCACTGGAGCAAATCAGAGCTACTGGGCACCACTGACATATTTTCTTGCTCTCCCCCTTTTATATCAGGGTAACACATCAAATGCTAAAAGGGCTGCTTATACTGTAAACCACCCAAAAGCTGTTTGCAGGGGCTTTTGTTACCCTCTAGGAATACACGGGTTGCTACACAAGAGAATAACCAGCTCCCAGTTTGGATTCTGGAGACTGACACTCTGTACTCTCAGGATTAGGCTTAAAACTTTCCTTTTTAATAAGAAGTTCCTGTTAAGGGAGTTTTTCCTTTCTGCTGTCTCCAAGGGCTTGCTTAGCAAGTAGTATGATTTTTGCCGTTTCCTTCAATAATTGTAGGGTCTTTACCTCCAAATGTGTATATATATGTATACATATGTGTGATTAAATATGACAGATAATCATTTTGGTCATAGCAGGATAGCTGTAGGACCATTTATGTTGGTAGACTTTTATTTTATTTATTTTACTTTGTGCAATCTACACATGTAAAGAAATTTATGGGCCCAACTAGTGGCCACATAACCCTGCACAATGATGCTTTGAGCAACATGAGGGGATCACTCCACGTAATCCCATCATGTTTAAACGAGCTGGACCAGAGTCCATCCTGTCAACGTTTGTATTTAAATGACAGCTTTAGATGAGTCGTTTGGCTCAAAATCTTTTCCCATCTGTGCTGCTGTCCATTTTCCCCGCAGCACGCCATGTAATAAATACTCACAAAGAAAACGGCGGCTGTTACAACTTGTGTCTCAAAATGTATAGTTTCATGCATCGGTTAAAACACTGGACTCCAGGTACACGACGCCCAGCTGGAAACACTTTACGCAAGTCGAGCTGCCTGCGATTCTCAGAATGTACAGAAAATGTAAAAATGTAAAATTTTTGTGATTTATATCGTTATCAGGACGATAGATGTCTTATATCGGGATATGAGATTTTGGTCATATCGCACAATTAAGTATTCCGGTCCATACTTAGGTTGAGTTACACGTGTAATGACTAAAACCAAAGTAACTCTAAGACAAGTAGTTTAAAAGGTTTAGGAATGAAACAATAGTTTAGGTTCATGTCAGCATAGTCACTAAACGTAAAGTCAGCTAAACAGAATTACTTACTGCGACATATACAAAGACAGATGTTTGTAACAGTAAAATGCTGAACAATAACTTGTGATGTATGAAGTGTTATTTCCTGTTTCCTGGTTTTGGTCTTTTTTTTTAAGTGCAACAATAAAAAATGCCACAGAAGTTATGGGGTATTCACCATGGAAACGGCTATCAGCGGTCTACAGCCACAACATTCGAGTGACAATGGCCAAAATGACTACTGGTGACGCAAAGTGGTTGGGTCCCGTGTTAAACTTTTTTTTGTTTTTTGAAATGAGTTGAAATGAGTACTAATGAGACCGGAAATTGACATTTGAAAAGGTATTAAAAACATTAAAGAGTTATCAGGCGCCCAGACCCTAACCATCAGCTATAAAGTCATGCTTTACAAGGAAATAACTTACTGTGTGGACAGGAAGGCAATCTGTGTACAAACGGGTCAGACACTATAGTCAGAATCCTCGAGCAAGCTGGCACAGATCTGGCATGTGTTGTATGTGTATATATATCTCTATATCTAGCTCTAAACAAACACTGAGTGAGAATCCCACGAGCTGTGCAGTTATTCAAGCACAGACTCATCTAAATGTATCCAAATTATCTTAAAGAGTAGTTTACAGTTTTCAAACTGAACCACGGTGTGTGTGTATGAAATGTTTGGGGGACCCATTCTAGCCAAAAAGTTGCTGCTGAGATTTATTGCCTTTGACCAAAATGTCACACAAACAGTCTGAAACTGCCTCTCTTTGAGCCACTACTGTTCTTGTGGTTACAAAATATTTATTGGTCACAAGGAAAAAGGAAGTTGGGAAGTAGTCATCAGTTAATGAGTTAACGGTAAAAGATCAGGAGATTTATTTCCATTGACCTTTGAATGCTTAAAATGCTAAAATACTATATTTGCAGTTTGGTATGTACGTAAAATGTTTCTCAGGAATTCATTTTTTTACCACGACTGGCCTCGAATCTCTCGGACACGATGGGAAACAGTGTGTAGCAAACTAGGTTGTCAAATTAATTTCCTTAGTGTTAATAAAAGACAGCTTAGCCTGACTAAGAGGAACATAATTAACAAAAATCCTTTAATTTACTTGATTGTCCCTTGGATGAACTTGTGATTTACTAATTAACCTGTTGCAGCCAATTTCCCTCAGTCCCAGTAATGAGCAGACTGGTGAATGCAATCAGCCTGACTCTGTCATTATGCGTTATGAATAAATGTATGCATTACCATTATTATCAATTACATGTCCTACAATACATAATCATGCATAAATTATGCATATCTATTCAGCTCCTCACCTATTAGCTCTTTTCTGAATTGCTTATTCAGAAACAGCTCAGCTAACGGGCACGCAGTCCCCAGCACTGACCCACATGCACAGACTCACACAATCGACACTAACTGGAGTTTCCCAAATTCTCCAAATGATCTAAACCAAAAAGGCCAACTGAGAAAACATTTGAATAATGTGTGGTCACATGTGGGGGGTTACAATACTTTCAACAGCTAAAGTACGGTGGGACAGACCCTCCTCAGCAAAGAGCTGGAACAGCTTGTCACTTCCTATTCGTTGCATCATGTGGCTCATGGTCTCGGCTACTTCCTCTTTTCACTACGTATCAATACTAGACGACAGTATTTACTTTCCACCACACGCGCCGGGGAGGCTGTATGAAGAACAACTAGTTTGAGGACTTCATGACGATTTACATATTCGATTTATAATGGATGGAGATCTGCTGTCTTTGTCATCTTCCTCCTCGTTATCATCTTCAGCAGCAGAAGGAGAACCAACAGGAGGACAGAAAGATGCTTCACCTAAGAGTGACAGCAGCCTTCCTCAGAGCCAACAGGAACCCAAATCAGCTGAAGAAGAGTTATGGTGAGTGTGTAAGTGTGTGTGAGTGCGTGTGTGTGTATTTCTACGTATGAAATAGAAACAAAAACAGGAAAATACGCGGTAAATCGTGTCAATCACAGCCTCAAATCCACTCATGGTAAGATTTATGTAGGCAGGATTGCATAGATGGCTACCTATAGTGTACAAAGGGTGCTGAGTTTCTGTCCATCTAAAAAAGGTACATAGTTTCAGACCCAGAGGTATACAATAAATTTTAGAAATGCTTTAAAAAGACTCAAAGTCCCATTGTAGATAAAGTCCTTTTAAGTGACATGTTTTTAAAGATATTTGTGTAGTTTTACGAGGAAGTTCCCCTCAGCGAGAGGAGGAATAAAGAGTAACTGCGGAGTTTCCCATGAGATCACCAAAAAAACGTAGGCTTCAGTTCACGTTTTCGCAAGACTTGGTTTAAATAGAAATACCACCAAAATGTCATTTCTTGCTTAATGTCAAGAAATCAAACTTTAAAAAAGTATCATTTAAGTGTCTTTTATGTTTCTTACACTTATTTCATGGTACATATAAAACATATGCGTGTGACTAATATTCTTTCTTCTCAATGGGGGGGTGGGTACACTTTATCACAGTATTTACCCATATGATGAGTCTTAAAATCAGCCTCGTCCGCCTCCTCCTGTGGGGCTTTAACTGTGGCCACCCCACGCACAAGTAGAATGATATTTGTCAGGGTTACCAGCAAGAAGGAAAGATTTTTTCTGTCTACCTCTTTATTATATGCCATGACAGTAAATTACCATATTGCCGCAGAAGGCAGTAGCATTTTGGTGTCCTTCCGAGATGGCATATGATTGAAAACTTAGTGAAACTGGGTCACGGAGTGTGTATCGGCTGTCAAAGCTGGAAGAGAAAAAGCTCTGTATCAGGGAGACATTGAGCATAGTTGCTTCAGTGGGATGGCTGAATACACAGTGTTAGCTTGCCAAGACAGGGTTTTTGGCATGGGTGCATTTGTATTTAATGCCGCAGTGGCCACTAAAGTTAGGCTCTGTTTCATTTCATTGTGTTTCTTTACAGCTTCTGCCCTCATACTGCACCTCCCAAACTGCAGAGCAGAGGGTTCATTGTAGCTGATTTCCCTATTAGTGACCATAAACAGTCTGTGCTAAAGCCCTTTGTGCTCTCGTTGAGCCCAGAAATATGACAGATGGCACAGTGTAAAATTAGACAAGCAGTTTTAACCATGGATACCCTTGCTTTTTGTATAATAACCGTTTCAAATCTCAGAACAGGCTTTGAGCATTTTAAACGTACCAAAGGAACTTTTGCAGAATTTCCTCAATGTTTTTTGAAAATATCACCTTTTCAGAGAACAAGGAAAAAGTCACTGTTCTGAGTGTTGTTAACAACATTTATTTTGTTATCCAGGGCTTTCAGCAGTTCTTAGAAAAGCATAGTTTTTAAATGAACTTTGGTTACTAAGAGAGGTTATACAGGGCACTGGTGTATTTGGAGGAACTTTTGAGGTTTGTTTTGTCGTTGCTAAGCTAAACTAAAATGTTGCTGGTGCCCATAATTAGTAACACTGGACATAGAATGAAAATAAAAAAAAAAACCCAACTTCCCTTAATACTGTTCCTATAATCACGAGAGGACACAGAATGTATAGTCCCATTAGAGAAGCTGATTTACCTGACAGCAAAGTTATCTATTTAAATAAAGGTTAGTAGTAGGTCCAAGTAGGGTTTGAATCTGGTAGCTGGGGCCTTTTTACATGTACTTTGACTTCCTGGTAGCCAGGTTTGGGGGGATTCCCACTGTCCTATCTCTATCAGCCCTGACTACGCCCCCTCAACCTCTGACAGCTGAGATAGGCTTCAGCTAGAGGTGGGCAGATTGAACCAGATAATCATTTTTTGGAAATTAAAAGAAATATACCACAAACATAACACATGTTATTTATGGCCTATAGCAGATTTACAGATTTAAGCAAGAGAAGCCAACCCAAAGTGCTTTAGAGAAAGGTACATTTGCATTCCAGATCACCGAAACCTCCAAAAATCCCAGTTTCTGTCACCCAAATGCAGAACCTGGAAGACAAAAGTAAAGTAAAAATCACAGCTTTACTCAACACTTAAAAAACAACAGAGAACAACGACTAACTAAACTACTGTAGGGATGTACGCATGGATGTAAACTCATACATCATGAGGGAGAACATGGCAAAGAACAAAGGGAGACAGTACACAGGCAGGAGGCTACCAAAGTAAAACAGGAAACAGCACACTCGATCAAGACTGAGACACATGAATTTCACATAGTACTGGACCACAGATGAATAAACATGAAAGCAGAGGGAAATCAGACAAACACGGGGACATGACCAGGGAGATAAAGGATAACAAAACTCGGAGACTAGACAGACGAAAACAAGAGGCACTGATGACAAGGCAGAGACGAAACCAAGGAACAGACTAGACACGAGAAGAGAACTACACTGCTCTCTCCTGCATACGCCGTCTTCACAGGTATCAGTACTGTATCAGCAACACTGGCCCTGTATTTACTTGGTATCAGATTGATACCATGTGTGCAGTATTGCACAGCACTAGCTTCAGCAACCCTGAAATGGATAATGGAAGAAAATGGATGTATGGTTAGATTTATTTATTTTAATAGATTACATCACATTTATATATAAAAAGAGTCTTGGTAGCAATAGTAATAATAGTAATAGCTTCAAAAGTTAACCCATTGTGCCATTTTGCTCATGTTTATACTTCCATGTTCCTATTTGTGGCTATTGCCTTGCTGCTTTCTGAAATTGTGTAACACAGATTTTCACATAGCAGGACACTGAACATAAGTGGATGAAAGCATGTGTTTGCGGAGGAGTTTAGCCTTGAGGGGAATGAGGTATGATCGCAAATTGTTATTCTTTGTAGTACTTAGCTCTGTGAGGTTGCGGCAGTATTTTTGTGTTAAGAAGCCCTGCGGCCTGCGTTCACTGTTTTGTGTGTTCCTCTCTGAGCAGATACCCCACCTCCCCACCCTCGGGCTTCTTCTCCCCCTTTCGACTGCTTAGCTGTTTCTTTTTAAGTAGAGCTCCTATCAGAGCTGGTAGAAAGGAAGCTAGTTTGACTAATTAGACCTTGCAAATATTTTTCGCTCCTGCGTGCAGTTCAATAGAAAAGTGCATTTTCCAGGGATCATCACCCACGTTGTTTCCATGGGCTATCAATGCGCAGATACATCGGATAGTAAACAAACTTTGATATGCCAGGAGAGACACTGAGAAGAACATCGCTCTGTGTGTGTGTGTGTGTGTGCCTGAGTATTTTGAGTACATAATGTGACTATGCATTTGTGTGTGTGTGTGTGCGCGCGTGGGTGTGCATAATGGCTCCTATTCGATTCCCTGTAAGTGCACTCTACGGGAGTGGGCGTTCAAAAGTACCTTGACTTTTTTTTAAGTGTACATGTGCTGGCTTATTAATGGAAATCCTTTTCTGATGTTCTTGATCGTGATTTTATTTAAGGCAAACTCCATATCCTCCTCTGGTATGTATGCATGTGTAAACAGCATCTGTGTGTCGGTGTGCAGGGTGCAGGAGGAGAGTCCCGTGGCTGACAGGCTGCTGTCCACAGAGGAGCAGGTGACTCTGATCACAGAGAGTCTGACAGTCACCTCGACTGACCAGGAAAAGCTGCTGCTGCTCAACAAGAACACTGAGCTCCGCAGAGTCAACAAGGAGGTACAGCATCGCATTAAAACCGGCACATATTCTCCACCGGCCCGCATTTTATTGCTGATGTTGGCAATTACATTTAGTTCTCTCTGAAAACCACAGGAGAACTGTGGGTGTTGTGTGAAAATTGCTGCAAAGCTGTGAAGAACCATCACTTCAGTTCAATTTTTCACTATTATACAACCAGGGCTTCCTGATTTTAATTAGTTGCTTCTTAATAAAAAAGGAAACCGGGGGGTGGTAACTCTAATGCATTTAGAGTAAGAATGAAGTGCCCGGCTTCAGTTTGTGATGCCAGCATTGTTGTGACGACAGACAGAGTGACGGCAGTAAAGATTAAATGAACGAAGCTATTGATTACTGCAGTGGAGGCCTTGGCAGTAATGACTGTTGTGTGATGATGATGGTCATGATGATGTGTCACAGCTGATGAAGCTGAACGAGGACTGGGACCAGGTGTACCGCAGTGCCACGCTGCGTCTACAGCACAGGCTGGAGGCTTTGGAGCTGGAGAACAGCGCAATCAAACAGCTAAACAACAGACTGCTCCTCAAAGTTGAACATCAGCAGGTAAATGCAACAATACTTTAAGCGCTAACACACCACCGCACAACTTATTCCGGGCATTTGCTTATGTACTGAGAAGTGGGTGTCGTAGACGAGGAGATTCCTAAACAGTTATCTTGCAGCTGTTTTAAATAGCCATCGATAATAGATGTGGTTTGCATGTGTGATATTTATTGCTATATTTGGGATTGCAGAGTGCAAAGGAGTACTATGAGCAAGCATTGATGCAGGAGCTAAAGAAGAACCAAGAGCTGCAAGAATATATCAGGCTGCTGGAGAGCAGGTTGCACCACCCAGGGAGAGACTTCACACCTGCCAAACCGGTATTGCTCCTGTCAGAGGGTCTCACCTGTACCTGATCGCATTGTGCATTTTCTTTTCTTTTTTTTCAGTTGTATGATCACAGTGTTGCTCATCTCTTTGTCTTTTTTTTTTCCATCAAAGGGAAGCTTTACTACTGTGATGCGAGGTCCAGCTCTGGGCCCCGGAAGTCATCCTGACCTGTCTTGCGGCTCTGCGCAAAACCCTTCACCCTCCTTTTTCCCAGCTTCTACCAGCCCAGAGGCTGAGTATCAGCGAAAAGGCCAGGCCAGCAGTTCCCCACTGGGAGTGCTGGAAAACTCCAAGCAAGAAGTGCATGATTTAAAAGAGCAGCTGGAGGCACTGAGATGTCAGGTGGGCTGCTCTCTTCTGCACAGCTTCCAGAAATGTGTCTGTTTCTAATGAGAGGAGAGCAGAATTGATGTCGACTCACTGTTGCCAGGGAAAGATTTGCTTAATGCTGAAAGAGACTTCAATGAGGCGGTGAACGGCACCACCAAGTGGTGGCTCTGTGCCGCGCAGACATTCATAATAATAAGCGTCCGCAGATTGCAAGATACGGCTTTAACGATGGCTCGCTGCCGTGTTTTTGTCTTGTGTCAGCAGACTGAGATATATGAGGCAGAATATCAGACAGAGCACAACGACCACAAGCACACGCTGCAGGAGAACCGAAGGCTGAGGAAGAAGAGAGAGGAGATGCGCCAACAGGTGGCACTACTGCAAGAACAGGTAGTGTTTTTGTCTATGCACAAGAGTACACACTCACACAGGCGAACACACCCACATTCATACTTAAATCCCTTAAGCAAAGATTATGAAACCTGCCTGCTGTCTGATCTTGATGCAAACCTTGCAAAATAAATGTGAACAAACAGAAAATTCATGCAGTGACTGGTTATTTCTTTTGGCTTATAGTGTCAAACTAGAGACTTTAATGCCATATTTTTATTTATATAATATGTTTAAACATATTGTAGTAGGCATATATGATTAATCCACAGCTGCTCCAAATAAAAAAATATACGGATTAAACCCCTTTCAGCTTCGACCTGAATGTCTTAAAGATGTGTTTGTCACTGGAATCTCGTGTGTTTTTCTCATCAGCTTAAGATATATGAGGATGACTTCAGACGGGAGCGGTCGGACAAACAGATGCTGCAGAGGCTGCTGTTACAGAAGACGTCTGAAAACAAAAACCCTGTGCTCATCCACCGCTGTAATAATGAGCAGCAGCTGCTAGGGGGCGATAAGAGACCACAAAATGGAGAGAAAAGGAAACAGCACCACCCACTCTGCCCAAAGCACCCAAACAGGGACAAAGAGTCAGTGTGACACTTAGAGGGAAAGTGAGCCATGTTTACAGAAAATGAGTGCCTGGTAACATCAGACTCACTAAATGTGTCAGCAGCTCGCAAAGGATCTTGAGTACTAAGTCTCGTCTAGAAAAGCATCATTAGACAAAGTAAAACTCTTCATGTAATTTTTTAAGCACTTCAGCACAAAAACATTTGCCAGTGTGTACATAACTCTCACTGCTGCAAGTTTGAAGTTTCCTTATAGTGTAAAAAGAACAACCTTATGAAATATTCCCTTCACAGTCGAAGATAAACTGAAACAAAAAGAACAGAAAGAGAAGTAGGAGACCAGAACTGAGCGAGAAGATGAGTGAACCAAAAACTGTAGTTTGAGCTAAACAAACACCTCACAGATCCTCAGCTGACAGCTTCACTGTTTGTGCACGAATGTGCTGGTTTGTGAAAGGAAGTAGTTACACACTGCTGTACGTATGACATCATCACTTAGAACAAACATAACCAGACAAGTTTCAGAAGAAGGTTCTTTCTTTTATTTTTAAGGAATATTTTGAAACTATAATGACGTTGTTACTTAACATGACAGTTTTCAGCTGTGCTAACTCGATCACTTACCCACATAACTTAACTTATAACTTAATAATTTACCAATGCGGGACTGATATTGGTTGAAGATGTGCCTGTGTAGATAGTTTAGTCAAAATCAGGCATGATTTATGAGTGTAGTTCATCACACTTGCATCGTTTCATGTTTCCGATAAAGTGTAAATATGCTTTTATTAGGATTAACATATTTAAGTTGCCTTTTGAATCTTTCACTTCATTGCAACACTTTTGTGTAACCCTTTTTTGTAAAAGGTCATTTAATATCTATAATGTTTAATTAAAGATACAGATAATTAATATCACTAACAATTATATTTTTATTAGTTTGTGTAATTAAAGATTGTTTAAATGGCATATGTTGTATATACCATGGTGTTGGTGGTTTTGTAGTACATTCATGCTTTTACTGATCAATGATCATTCCTGACATCTCACAAACACAGACAAGGTGTTATGTTATGTTATTAACATAAGGTTTAGCGTCATACTAGTCATCATAATAATGCTTATATATGCATTACAAATTATTTATTCTCATATGGATTCATAAATGACAGTTGTGGCTTTCTTAAGCTATCTGTGTAATGTTCATAGATACTAATTGGCTAATATACAAAGCAGTTCTTAGCCAATTAGTAAACATTATAAAATAAAGCATGATTTGATATGAATTTTAATACATGTATTCGCATTGATTCAGAATACCAACACAGCTGTGCCGTTTATGTGGTTCTTCAGTGGACGCATTGCACTGAACCATCAAACCTATTTGCAATTTCAGAAAGTTGTACAAGGAAGGTTGAGTGGGTTTTTTTCCTTAGAGATTAATATCTTTGCAGTCTGAAGGAAGCGGTTAGGGCTGCTGCACCTTTTTACTGCTAAGTGGTCTTTGTCGTCACTGAAACCAGAGGTCACCAAAGAGTGACTGGAGGGGTTTTCCTAAACAAGATTTTCCACTGCATACTTCTAGGTTTTTGTAACAGACTGTGAAAGGTTGCCTGTCTTTGTATTAAAGGGTTGTTACGTTTATTCGGTCACTGATTAATTGATTTTCACAGATATATTTAAAAGCACAATTGCTTGTCAGCACCAAAGTGATGGAAGGAAGTCACTGTGGAAGCTGCTCTTTGTCACACTGAAACCGATCTGCATCCTCAAACTGATGGGTTGCTTCTACGCTGCTCATTTATCCCTGTTTTCCAGTTTATGAATAAAATATATTGTTATTAATTTTCCCACAAGACCTTGAATCTAGTTTGGTCTTTTTATCAGCTTTTATCATTGAAATATAATGACACAAGTTATGGTTATGGTTACACGGTTATGCTTTTATTGCATTGGCACTGTGTTTGGGATTTTTTGCCATGGTGAATAATTAAGCCGTTCGCAACCAGGTGCTTTCCAGATGGTGTTTTACGGTGGATCAAAAGAGGTACTGACATCAGTGACATCAATCTGGACAAGAGCCTAAACACCAGTGGCTGAAATGCAGCCCCAAACCATGACGGAGCCTTCACCGTGTGCTACAGATTGCTGTAGAAACTCACTGTTTTACGTCTATCTTGACCTGCTGCCCACAGATGTGCTCAGAAGTTTACATATGGGCATAGCTGTCAGTCCAGTTCTTATATAATTCGGGATATCTTACCCTTTTCTCCCTCTTTCCCTTCATTATGAATAGCTTCTTGACAGCCACCCTTCACAGAGACCAATTCTGATGAGGCTTCAGTGAAGAGCAGATGGTTTAACTGAAGCACCAGATGTATTCTTGAAATCTTGTCTCAAGTCTTTCATGGATTTTTACTTATTGTTTAAGGACAGAAGAGGCTTGGTTCAAAACTTTTACACAGCACCACTGATATAATAGGAAAGGACAGAGAAAAATAAAACATCTTCACACCATCATTATGCACAATATGAAGTATGTCTTTTTCTCATCGGTTCCTCATTCTGTAAATTCCTGACAAGGAAAAGAACATGTTGAACAAAAGGTTGTGATGAGCGGGGGCATTTAGTCAATGAATTCATGTTGCTTGAAAGGTTTTTGTTTCACAACATGTCACGCCTTTAAGATACAATTTCTTTTTCCTGATGGTAAAATCGTTTACTGCTCTGGTATTCATTGACCTCAAAAGGATGGAATGTGACAGTCATTGTGTGGCACAATTTCAAAGCAAAGACGTATTTTTTCGATGACACAGAGAGGAGGTCCTTGGAAGGTGGGTTGTACACTATATAAATCTGTGCAGCAGAAGCATTGGAGAGCATCCAGGATCCAGACTTGGAGAGACACCAACTGAAGACTGAACAGTGCACAGGTATGATGCTATTAACACATTTACTCCAGCAGTTATGGTTAATAATAACAGCTGTATTCCCTGTGGTATATTCTCCACATTTCACCAAGTTATACATTTCTTATTTTACTTGTTTTTTACTGTGGTTTTGCCACTCCAGAAAAATAAGTCAGTTTTGCATCTCTGTAGGGTGTTTTCTTAATTTGCTTTAGTCCACAGAACAAGCATTGTTTATATGGTTTATTTTCACCCATCATGGCAAGTGGGCAGGACTTTTTTATTTTTATGTCGCTGAAAACACGAAGGAAAACAGGAACTGTTTTGCCTTACCAACTTTTCTATATCTTCTCTACCCCTTAAATACCACCTCAACAAACAGCTTCTACATTATAAATTCTGAAAAAGCCTTAGCCATCGTCTGTGAGACAAGTCCTGCAGAGATGACTGCATCCACAGAGAAACTGCGAGAGAGCTACAACCAGCAGGGCTTCCTCTCGGCACTGCCTGTGCTGAATGAGACAGAGCTGAGGGAAGCAAGAGATGCCTTTTCTAAGTTGGAGATGGAATTTGGTAAGTAGCACACAGTGATGAAGAGAGATGGGTAACAAGACAATGCTAGTGCAGAAAAGACAGTTGAGGAAAAAGTAGCAACAGATCATTAATGAGTTGAATTTATCTTCTAAAAGTACGAATATGCATATAAGTAATTAAAACTAGTAGACTAAATGTTGCCCTGTTTTTTCTAAGGAAAGCTGTGTTATGTTTATACATATATCCAGGTACTGAGTACACGCAGTACAGCCTTCACAATGCTCACCTCCAGTATCCATGGGTGATGAACCTGACCAAGCACCCTCACATCCTGCAAGTGATCACAGCCGTCTTGGGCCCAGATGTGATCCTGCTGGATTCCCGCTTCATCTGCAAATACCCAGCATCGGTCAAACCAGCCAAGGAGGAAACGATTGCCCAAAGCAATGGGCACGCTGAAAAAGATGAACTTCCATACGTGGCCTGGCATCAGGACATGAGGTAAATTTTACTCAACAGACAAAGAAGCAAACACGTGTTTGTTTTGCTTTCCTATGCCTAACTCTA